TTTTGAATTTCCCGACTCTGGCGCTCTGTCAATTTTTTGTCGCATCCATTTTCTACTCCTTTTTGCTTTCCATTTTGGGCTGCTACAAATCGCTTTGATTTACATAATTCTGCGCACAATTCGACGCATAGTTTTGCATATTACTTATTTTTGTTGTTGTTGTCGTTGTTGTTGTTGGCTGTTTGCAAATTTTTTGACAGCTGTCAGGAAGTAACAAGTTGGAATTTCACTCGCCGGCGCCTATTCAGCTGCTGTCATTGACAGTTTCCGCAGATCTCCTTTGGAAAAAGGATGCAAAACTCGCTGCTGCAGAAATTTTACATTTGTAGCTGCCACGGCCATGCCTCAGGCAAGGCTGTAGCTGCGCAGATTGACAATTTTGATATCTTTTACTGCCCCGCAGCAGGTCCTAATATGACAGCTGTGCTTAGGCCATCATTAAGGCACACGAGGTTGATTTTAAGGATAAACCGCTAAGCAGCTTATCGGCAAGTGAGGATTAGGCGCCCAGCCATCAGCTCTAATCTGCACTTAGACCAAACACCCAGCCAGATAGAGCTGAAACTATACACTCGGAACTGCAATTCCTATGTTGCTATATATTGTAGAAGGTCCTTTATACTCCCTCGCATATTTAAGCACTTGACTTTGCCTGAAGCTATAAATATTTCATATAAATTATTAGGGTTTCAGTTGCTAGTGATGATTATAGATTATGCCTGGGAATTCCTTACAGATAAATCTTAATTTGTATGTGAAATACTCAAACTATGCAAGGAGTCGAAAGGATTCTAAGGACTTTTCTTTTATTCCAGTGCACATTTTACTGTAGATGAACAGCTTTAGAAGAGAGAGACATTTGGAAATGAATTCAATTTCAATAGGAAACAAATAAAAGCAACCTGCTCAATATCCAAGCCATGAATGGTTTCCGATGTGCGATATTCGGACTTGAGTTTGGCAACAATTGTAATTGACGCCTATGACGCACACTCGAAAGCAACCGACTTCGAAGGCCCTCCAAAAATAGACTGCACCTAGTGGAGTGCAAATCTATTGAAATATGCGTTGCCAAGAAGCAGCAGCAAGCCAAGTAACGACCGCACCCGTCAGCAATAATTGCCGCACAAATCTAAACAACAACAGAACGAGCTGTGTTTGTTCAGGAGCGCGACAGGTGAGGGTCGACTAGAGATACCCTATAGACTGAGTCACACAGCTTCAATTACACTTACAGCTTTAAATTCATTGCATCTTGATGTATGCAAGCAATCACAATTAAAGTAGGCTATAGTAACGCAACTAAGGGATACCCTGTAGTAATTAATTCAGTCGAATCTGTTACCTGATTCAATTACAGTCACTTACATTTACCTACAAGATACCCTATATGATGTAGGGTATATTGAGTCAGTCTACAGACTGTCTAAATGAGACTGTCTAAATGCAGGGTATACCAAATCTGCCTACTTCAAAATTCACTTAAGACAATTGATCTTAGTAAACTACGGATATTGCATGGATTTGGAGCTTTTCTTTCATAATATCTCTGTACAGGGTATACGAAATTGAACCCAATTTGCAAATCAACCAAATTACATAAAGCTAGTCTTAAAGACGATATCAGTTAAGGAGCCTATCAGGCAGTAAGAAATTCTCAACTCATTAAACACTTTACGAATTCGACTAGTTCAGCATGCCCCATCGGTGTGGCACATTGTATAGACAACTGAAATCAACTTAATCCAAATAGTAAAACGCATTAAAATGCTATGGAATACCAGAAAACATAAAGAATTTCGCAAAATAAAACCCGAAAACCAAACCGAACAAAAATAAACAAGTCTAGTGCTCGAAGGGGCCAAGTGGATACTCAGCAGTCGCAGCTGGGGCCAAAGGTGGCAACACGACCACGAATATGGGAGTGCGGCCTCATTAGGTGTGGCGTGGGGGCAGGGCAGGGCGGGGCGGGGCGGGTATCATAAACTAATCAGGCGCAACATAAACAAATATTTTTTTCTTTCGTTTTTTTTTTGCGCTGCTGGAAAAATCAGTGTGAGAAATTTGAAATCGATGTGTTTCCACTTTTAGTTTCCACTCTGAATGCGACCTTGTTGAATTTTAATTTCGAAATGCGTTGCGTGCTGATCTAAGCCGAAAGTCGCTCAGCTAATTTGGCTAATTGGCGCTGGCCAAAATAAAAATGTAGTCATTGATGCAAATCGGAAGCCATAAATAAACATATATACAAAATTTCTAATATTCGCGGCAATTGATGTTTTATTTTTTGCTTTGGCTTTGGCTTTGGATTTGGCTGCCTTTTTGTACTTTTTTGCAATATTTTCACACATCAACAGCTGCCAGGCGAGAGGAGAATTTTTCTCATTTTCTATTCTCTGCGCATTTTTATGCTACCATAAAAAAAAAACACAGAAACGAAACGCAACCAAAAGAAGGCGCAACATTTTCGCTCAGAATTTTTATGGCACGCTGAGCGGGCGGAAGAGGAAGCAGGGTGAGTGGGTGGAGTGGGTTGAGGAGAGTCAAAGTTAGGGAAGCACTGTCTATTGGTAGGAGCTGAGTTGCCTTTACCAGCTGCCCGCTGAAGTGGTTCACAATTTACGAGCCGCGTCCCCGCCTCCCACCTCCTGGCTGCCATTCGGCAAGCCAACATTTTATTGAATTTTATTTCATTCGCCAAAAGTGAAGTGCCGAAAGTCGCCTTTGCTGTTGTTGTTGTTGTTGCTGCTGCTGCTGGTGCTGGTGCTGTAGCAGTAGCCGTTTTGCAATTTATTGCTTGCAGTTACGAAATTTATTTCTGTGTTTTTGCTGTAAATTTACAATTTTGTTTTGCGGGATTCTTCACTCAAGTCTGCAGGTAGTCAAGTCGTCCGCCCGCCTTCGCTCTTTCTTTCACTCTCACTCGTAATCTCTCTCTCCCTCTCGCTCTCACGCTGTCAACACCTTGTATGCAGCATAGAAACGTTTCTGCTTGCCTTCAACTCTCTTTCTTACTCATTTGCTCTGTTATATTCTCTACCTTTTTGCGTTCGCTTCTGTTTTCTGTGTGTGTGTGTGTGTGTGATTCGCTTTGACTTCAATTGTTCGGCAATTGTTTTTATAGCGCCAACAACCGAAAGAGATGAAGCAAAAGAGGAAATGCCAGAAATAAACTTATGTAAATTACATGCGTGTGTGAAAGAGAAGGAGGACAGTCGGAAATAATAAAATTGATCTAGGACTTGGCACTCATATGTGCGGCTGGCTCGGGCATTCCAATCCCTTCTTATCAAAGAAATTTAACTCAACTATTTATTAGAGAATGTATAATGAGAAATGAGCGCAACTTGCATTAATCATTTGCTTATCGCATTTAATTATGATTCAATAGAAATAATCTAAAATTTAAGCATATATCAGGAAGTTTTTCAGAAATGGAAAATAGTTGCTGGGATTTTATGGAAAATATAACAGCTTAAATTAAATTTGCCAAAGCAACAAACGACGGGAAATCACAGTGAAAAGCGGCAAAAGCAAACGAACGGAGAGGCAGGCAGGCAGACGGCGTACCTACTGCGAGATGCAGGCAAAAGACAACAGGCAGAATGGACAAAGAGGACACAGGTCTGAGAGGACTGAGGCTCGCAATTGTAACCAAACTCCACTCGAAACCCTAACTCGAGGGTTTTTCGAGGTTTTTCCCTCATCTAACAGACGCCGCAGCCACAGGCGTCGCACTCGGAATTCTTAAACATGGAAATGGGAACGGGAATGGGAATGGAAATTGTGATAGGGTGGCAACAGTGGAATGGAACTGTGGCCCGCTGCACCATTTGCTAGCTAAATTTTTTTTATTGTTTATTAATATGAAAAAACCCACTCAGCCGGAAAAATCAGAAAAGTCATGTTCCAGGTCCAATCTCAAATATCGAATTCACTTTTCCGGCTCAACGTGGCTTTTGTCTAATTTGTTTAATTTATGCAAAATGTTCGCAGCGATAAGCGCCGTTAATTTTTCGGTTAAACTTGGCGCAAGTTTTCGTCCTGCCGAATTTTATGAAAATGAACTGAAACTGAAACTGAAAATGAAAATGAAAAGGAAACTGTGCTTCGACATTTTAATTTGTCGGCTGGCTGCCTTCCAGAGCTTCCCCTGGGCACAGGGCTTAACGGACTAAGCTCTGAGTTGGCTTAGTCCACATAATTATTGAGCTTCATCGAATGCAGGGAGCAATAAGTTTGCCACTAATGAGCCAAACGGTTTCAATTCCAGTTAATTCCCATTGAACTGCTGGATCAGAAGCTAAGCCAACGTCCATTATAAACTGCGCTTTCCCAATTTTCAATTTCCCTAATGATGCTTAAATCACTTACGTTCTATCAGCTGAACTGGATTAGATTAATATTTTATTCAATTTCTTGAGCATTTAAATATTCAAATAGAAAAGTTCAATTTAATTTCAATTTAAGTAAATTATGCCAAATTCCAATATTTTTGAATCACGCAAGGAATTCCAAGTATTTGGATCATTTACATTTTTTCAAAAATATAATTTGTAAAATATAAAATTTTTTTGTTGTTATTACTCGATGATCATTTATAGAAATATATTTTTTTTTCACTAGGAAAATATCGAGTACAAATTTCAATTTAATTTATATATATTTTTATAACTTTTGACAGTCTGGTAATTTCCTTAAATATTATATATCATCAGGTAGAATAAGCATAGAGTCAACTAGGAATTCTCTAATATGATATTTATTATAATAAGATATCATAAATAAAACAGAAATAAACTTGAAAAATATTTGAGTTAGTACATTTTAAACTAATATAGCTACCGCTACATCCACCAACAGATATCACATATAAGAAATTAGATAAATTGCCCGCATTTTGTATCTTGGAAAAGTATTTAAAGTTGTGTCGTCGCTGTATCGAAACTGCTGTAGCTAAGGTTGTTGCTTCAGGTGCGGATTCAGGTAGAGTTACTCACCTTGTCTGCCGTGTGTGCGCTGTGCCGTGGAGTTGGCTGTGGTATCCGGTGGACGATGCGGCAAATGTTGATACTCGTAGTCGTAGTGCGAGGACTGCTGAGCGGCTGCAGCGGCGGCGGCGGCTGCTGCGGCTGCGGCTTGTAAATTCTGTTGGTTTTGCTGCTGCTGGTGCTGGAGCGTTTGGCTGTGCACAGGTGCGCCACCGGAGGGGGCGTGACGTCCGGTCATGGGCAGGGTGCCGGGGCAGGGTCCGCCGCCCGTGTCGCGACAGTCGAGCGTTGACTCAAACTCGTAGGGATTCATAGTGGTCGACTCCAAAGGACATTCGTCGTCGTCGGTGTCGGTGCCACCGTCGTAGAGGCTGTCCGTGTGCCGGTATGCGTGGAGCTGGCTCTGCTTTGAGAACTTAATTTTGGCGGCTTTTGGTGGGGCCCGGAAAGCCGACACTCGCAAACAGAGACAGAGACGAAATAGACGAGACGAGAGGTGAGAGGAGGACCGAAAAGAGGAGCGAGAAGAGGGAGCAGAAGGTAGTCAGCTCCTTCAGAGGAGCCCTTGTCGTGGTTCAATAGCAACTCTTTCAGCACTTTTCCACTGCACTTTCAACTGGGCTGAGCGCCAACATTTTATCAGAATTTCTTCTTTCGATTGCTTCTTTTTGAATATTTTTGATTTCTTTGTTATGCTTTTGCTATTCGTAGCACATTTTCGATGTCTAAACACTTTCGGCACTTGTCTTATGCCTGCTTGTGCCGCTTTTGCCGCTTCTGTAAACAATGCAATTTCACAATATTTAAAATTGATTTTGGTTTGCAATTTGTGTGGCGAAATTTCTTGTTGCACGAATTCAATTGAAAGACACACGCGATGGACGCGACAACACAAAAATGACAGGACACAAGAACAACAAGCGAAGAACTTCGACACACAGGTGCGAGGCAAGCGGTAAATTTTCTTTTTATTTTTGTGTGTAATTTTCGTTTGCGTTTTGCTTCAACTTCAACTTGAACGTCGAGCTCGAGTTCGACGGTCGTTGGTCGTTAGTTGCGCGACGGCCGCGTGGCGTGCGGGTCGGCTTGGATGCGAAGTGAATTCAGCGAGCGACGATTTCAAACTGACGCGCTCGCACGAAATTGTTCTGAATGCTGGCACATACGCGAACGATGGAAAGAGAGGATGAACGCGCGTGCACGAGTGCAAGAGAGCGAGCACGTCTGCCGATGTTGTAGCAGTCTTCGTTCAGTTTTTCGGCCGCTCAGAGAACTGGCCCAGGGAGAGCAACGCAGAGCGCGCAAGTGTCGTGGGAGGGCTCTGATGCTGCAGTCATTGTTGTTGCCTTACTCGTTTGACTGGTCTCTGCCGACGCAGCGAATGCTCTGCGCATGACGACGCTGCCGCCAGCGCGGTTGGCAGCGCTGCCGACGACCCCAATCTGCAAAGCGCTTAACGAAACGCTGCTGATTAATTTTGAAGGTTAAAAAAGTGCGTTGAAGTTTTTTTTGGCAAAGCTTGCAGCGCCCGTGTAGGGGAAATGTATTTACAGCGATGCGATTAGGGGTGGTTACAGTCGTCGCTGCGCATCTAACAGTTTCGTTCAGTTTTATCTGCTGTTAATGGGCACTTAACAGCGACAGGACATAGCGCCAAAATAACAGACGTTGCGACACGTCGCTTGCGGCCATTTACATTTACACTGCTATTTGCTTAAATTATGTTATTTTTAACAGCTTCTGTTTGTTTCTAACATACTCCGTTTCTTTGATAGGTATTTGAAAGCTATGTTACTTGCATCAAATGTGTATTTATAGTGATTTAGTTTGATATTTATTCAAAAGTATTTTAAAACAATTGCAGTACTATAAGCCAATTTGTTTTGAAACATTTAACTTTTATTTTTTAATTGTCTTAAGATAAATTTTTTAACATTTTAAGTCAACTTTAAACACAATGAATAAAAAATAAAATATGTAAGATATGCAAATTTCAGTCGGGCGTTACTAACTGCACACTACACGTTAACAGCTTAAGCTTAGAGAAAGACAAAGGCTTTACCGCGTAGCCACGATCTCAGTCGATGGGGATATATGGGGAAGTGCTTTACAAGCGACATGGCTAAAGCCCATATATATGTATTTATAAGAGTATAGAAATGAAAACAACAAAACCAAAAACGAAACAAAAAATTCTTCAACTTCATTAACGCTGCAGTAAAGTTCTGGTCGACAATGCAGCGAGAGGAACAACCGAAAAACTTTTCTTAGTTGCCGAAAAATGGACAACGCAGATTCGCAAGCGAGAAAGAGTCAGAGACAAAGAGAGAGAGAGAGAGAGGGAGTAAGAGAGGAAAAGTTTAAAATGCTGACAGTGAAGTTGTCATTTAGCACCAAGAGCCGGGGCAGGCACAGTGTGTCAAAAACTCTGGCTAACGAAGCAACGGAGAATGTGGGAAAAAATGGAAAATAAAACCGAAAGAAGCAGAAAATTGCGTTATAAGCAAAGTAAAGGACATTTCGCTAATGGCTTTACTTTTGAGCAGGTTTTTGGCGGCCAATACTCATCCGCAGCCGCAGCCGCAGCCGCAGCCGTAGCCACGCGCTCGTGTAGCGGAAGTTGTTGCTGAAGCTTTTTTGACAGCTTTGACGCAAGACGAAGTAAAGCAAAAATACGAAGAAGCACAAGCAGAAGAAGAAGAAGAAGAAGAAGACGCACGTTCTTTTCAAGGAATGTGGCAACACCGCATGACGCGCGCCGAGCCTGAAAATGAAATTATTTGCATAGGATTTTCCAAGTGCTTCTTCTTCCTCCACTTTTTATTCTCTTCAGACTGCTCCGCCGCATTCCTCGTCTTTCTCCGGCTCTGTGCTGTCGATGAGAAGTCAATTTCCTGTTGTGCACAAAATGTCATACATTCAGAGGACAACGAGTAGCAGCGGAGCTCAAGAGGCAAGACGCAAGATGCGGTGCAGCGCAACGCATCGGGCGCTTCCCTTGCAACTGACATTTTGCAAACTTTTTTCTCCAAATACTAAACGTTTAAGGATGAGGGAATTAATAGAGTTCTCATTGAGTGAAGCCAAGTTGGGAATTAAAAAAAAAAAAAAGAAATATAAAAAATAAAAAATAAAAAAAAAAATATAATGACTTAAGATAAATTTAAGTCGATCACAAATTTTTCTTTAATTGAATGAGAATTTCTTAACGTTTTCATCGTCTTTGTGTTTGGCATATTTCAATATGGAGAACTGATAAAATGGATCTGCAAATATGTAAAATGACTAATGGGCATATTACGTAGACAAATTCCAATGATTCATGGATTTCTTAAATTCTGAACTCTTTCTTTGTCTAGCCCCATCAATCCTTATTAAATAGCACTCAAATCTCTTTATTAGTTCTTTATGCCAATGCAGACATTGATCCAACCAAAAAGCTTCGCATCCGAAATTGTAGTCTTCCAATATTCAAATAAACTATTGAATCATTGTTATAAAATTATTTAAAAATTCCTCAAAAATTTAAAACGAATTTAAATTAAATATTTAATTTTTTTTTTCAAATACTTCAAATATATTTTGTAATAAGATTAAAAAGAATAAGTTATAAAAGGGCTACTTTCAAGTTCTTTCTCTTTGTATAATTTGAAAGTAATTTTTTCTCAGCTCAAGATCAAATAACAATATTTTTGGTTAGTTTTTTCTGAGCTCTGTTGCAGTTGCAACATAAAAAGTTAGTTTCAAAATCGAGTTCCCGTTGAGACAGAGCTCAAATTTCCATTGAAAAAAGACTTCCTCTGCTGCATCCAACTTTATTCCTATCGAGCATGCATTTTGGCTTAATTTAGCAATTACTGCGTCTCTTTCGCACGGTGTCTCCATCTCTCTCTCTCTCTCTCTTTCTGTCTCTCTATGTAAAGTTACTTCCTCTCTCTGGTATCCTGCTTAAGCGCAACATAAAGGAGCACCGCACTTAGAGTCTCAGTCACGAAATTTGATCAGCTCTTTAAATCAGCGAGAGACAGAGAAAGATAGAGAAAGGCAGAGAGAAAGGGCTTCGATTTTGCTGCAACAACAAGTGTTCTAAATAACAGTTGTTCTTGTTGACCCGAAATATTGAGCTTCGACGCGACTTGCAGCGGGGGCAGCAGAAGCCGCAGCAACAACCAAGCGTTGCGGCATTTCCTGCGTCAATTCCCACAAAATAAGGAACACAAACAACAAGCAACAGCAGCAACAACAAACAAACAACAACAACAACAACAGCAATGTAGGAAAATGGCTGAGAGGTAATGTCATCCAATGGAATGCAGGTCACTTTGGGCGCCTTTCGAGCAGGCCTTACAACTGTTGCTGTTGTTGCAAGCTGATGTGGCATATACACATGTGTATGCATGCATCGATCAAAGAATACGCAAAAATTGTTCGCATGGCATTTAAAAAAATGGAGAAAAAATCGAACAGGACACGCACAAAAGGACACAACGCGCGCAAGATGGCAAGAGCTGACAATGAGTGGCAGGCACTTTGTGCCACGCCGGCAGACCGACTGACCTCCTCCTTTGGTCCTGCGCCAGTAAGAGAAATAAAATTACGCGAGATATTGAATTACGCTTTTTAAATTAAAAAATATTTTCGCGATTGCATTAAACGAAAGGCAAACTAATTAAAGGGGATTTCTCCATCCATCCAGCCGGCGTCCATTGTCGCCGAATGCAATTTGTGAGCTGCAAATGAAGTTGAAGTCCAGGACCAAAGTGCACACAGCACAACGCAGCTGTAAAGCAGCGAAATACAGATTTATATTGCTGCATTGCTGGCTGGCCTAGGCCATTAACCTGAGTCTCTAGCGAGCGCACTCTCTCTCTCTCTCTCTCTCTCGAATTGAGCAGTGCAAATCGAAGCCTCAGCTAATTGCTAGACAAATAGATACAGTAAACCCTGACGATCATGGCAATTGGCGCGATTGTTGAGAACTAGTTCATGAGTTTCACTTTGAGCTTTTAACTCAGTTATCCAAAGGGACTCGAAACTAAAGCTGATTTACTAAATGAAATATGATTGAAATAGAGCACTGCGTGAGTAACTGAAATCCTGAATAAAATGAGCTATAAATATATATTTATATATCTATTTATATAGCTCGTGAATCATACATAAAGTGAACTAGCTCGCAGCTAGAATTAACTATTTCCACATCTCATTTCTCACATCAGATTTTCGAGTAGTCTGCGATCGTTCGGAATGAGTTCATTCAAATGAACTACTCAACTTAAATCTAGTTCATAAATGAGCGATTGCTCAACAATTTCAAGCAGAATTCTTAACATTGAACGGCTCATCCTAAAATATTGATCTAGTGAACTCAGCATTAAGTTCATTTTAATTAAACCAAGAATTAATTCTTTCATATCTCCCTTTCATTTCGAGCAGTGTCATATAAGTTCCATTAAGTATTGAGCTAACTTTTAATGGTAGTTGCAGTTTCCATTAACTGAACTGGATCACCCAACTGAACTGTAACTCTGAGCTCCACTGAGTGACACTTTGCATATCGCATTTCAAATTTATAATTTCTGAACTCTGATCTCTGATTTCCCGTTTTCATTTCGAACTGATGGGCATCCAGCAGCAGTCAACAGCTGCCACTTAGACCAAGGACGATGCAGCATTGAAAGAATTATTGAGGCACTTGACGTTGCCCACAGCCCACAGTCACAACGCAGCAGCCGCGAAGTCTGCGGGCCAAGCAAACAATGTATCAATCAATAAAGATTTCCGCACCTAATAAGCCGCAGTCAAGCGCCGCCGCAAGCGCTAAGCGGGTGGCAGCTGCTGCTGCTGCTGCTGCTGGTGCTGCCTCGACTGCTGCCTGTGCCATCATTGACGCTGGCAAGCAATTAAACGCCAAGAGTCGCCGCCAACGCCTCCGAGCAAGGTGTTAATCGAATTACAGCCTTGCGCCTCGCTCCTCATTGCGAGCCAAGGGAAGTGAGCTGCAGTTGGGAGCAGCTGCCTCCGCCACGTCGGTTTCGTTGCATTTCCATATTTTCAAATTTGAATTTTCTATTTCCACAGAGCTGTCCTCTGGCAGGACTCGTGTGCGCCCGCCGACATTCTGTG